CATCGCAAAAGTTAACCTACACGCTCCAACGTTCAATGAGACACTGTACAATGTATCGTTGCTAGAAATAGTCCGATTGGAACGAAAGTCATTAGAGTACAAGCAAAAGATGCAGATACTGGTCAAAAAGAACAAATGTTCTATATATTAATGGATAATCGTCTGAAGCAGAAACCAACGTTTGAAATCCCGAAACCATTGTTTGGAATCGATAGTAGGTCTGGTGAAATTTTACGTCTTCAGTTTTTGACTATGAGAGTGTCGGACCTCAGTTTTTCACTTTAAACGTCCAAGTTTCTGACAATGGTTATCCACCAAAGACGGCTTTAGCCTCTGTCCATGTCGTAATCGAAGACACAAACGACAATTGCCCAATCTTCAAGTCGCCTTCAAAAAGGTTGTTCAATTTAACTGCAAAATCCCATCCTGGAACATTATTGACAGAAGTATATGCAACAGATGCTGACAGTGGCGTTAATAGTCAAGTAAAATACACTTTATCGACTCATAGCGGTGATTTTAAAATCGAAGAATTAAACGGTAGTGTGATCGTGGCTAAAGAGTTAAGCGTTCGTGAATATAGTTTGTTCATTGTTGCGTATGATATGGGTTTACCAAAATGTTCAACGGAAATTAAAATCAATGTGAATGTATATGGAAATGTGTCAACAACCGTTACAGGTAAACCAAATATTTCACCCTATAAGTTTTTACCTTTTAATAAAATTCAGCTGCCAAAATTTCTAAAAAGCCTACAAGTTGCCAAGAAATATTTGGCATATTTTCTTACATTTTCATTCAGCAAACATTTCCCTTGTCCTATACTGTGATTCATACTTTGTAGGTAAGCCCACGGCAATAGGTACGAAAAAAGACATACCTTCAGCGTTACCATTACCAAGTTGGTACAAACAACCAGTGACAATTGCACTGTTCTCTACAGGCTGTGCGCTTGTATTTCTCTTTGTGTTCGCATTTTTTTGTCGCAAATATTTTAGGAGACGTGTAGATGAGCGGAATAATCAGGTTGTCGATGAGAATCGCACAGTTAAAGCTCATCCGATGCTGAAACTTGCCTGGAGTGAAACAAACGAGGGCAGATGTGCAGAATCTGAGTTATAAAAGCTTTGATATCTTTAGTATAATTAATGCATTTCCATAATCTAGCCTTTATTTAGTTTAGCCTTTATTTTATAAACACCTATATTGTTTCTTAATTTAATTCGATCCAAATGATGCCGTACATATGAGCCAACAGGGTCTGATTCGAAGTTTAGGAACTTCACATGGAAGAGAGTCTTTTATACGTTTTCGCTTTCGTTACGCCTAGTATCTTTCTTATATCGATGCTTACACTATCATACTGTAGTTATTCATTTACTCTGAAACGTTCGAGTTTAGTATGTTGTATGGCTATATATATGTACGTTTTGTGATTATTCTCGGTATATATATATATATATATATATACACACAACTTTTTTAACGCTTTCGGGCCTCGGAGGAAATTTTCTGAAGCGGTCGGCGTTTACTAATGATTTCTTATATTATACACAATAAAAATGATTTTATATATGCATAGGATATTTAATTCAGGATTTAATTTAATATATGTAATATATTGATATCATATGTAAATAGGTAGTTTTGCTAATTATTGAAAGATAACTTAATTTTATCTCTTGTTACTCCGGCATAAGCGACGGAGTTGCAAATTCACCTCGGTTTCTTTTTTTTTTTTTGTTGTTTTTTAAATTATTAAGCCAGCAAGAACCGCACAGACGCAAGTAAGAACAGCACACATGCAAGTAAGAACTGTACAGATGCAAGAAAGAACAGTACAGATGTAAGACAGAACAGTACAGGTTCAACTAAAAAACTGTACACACGCAAGTATTAACAGCCCAGATGCAAGTAGGAACAGTACAGATGCAAATATTATTAAACAGTAATAAGACTGACAATATAGCAAGGAGCCTAGAACTATGGCGTCATATATCCGCCAAAATTCAACTTCGTTATTTTATGTTGAGCATATTCTTTGTTTTATTGGACTTTTTGTATTCTGCATTCAAGTTTGTGTATTGCAGTCATCTTTGTATTTTAAATTCATGTTTGTGTCGGTTTTACATTCAAGTTTGTATTTTGCATTCGAGCTTTCGCATTTTACATTCAAGTTTGCATTGTACATTCAAGTTTGTATTTTATCCAACCGCAATCCAATAGCTAACCGGTTTCGCGGGCGCGGGCGTTAGACATAATCCAACTTTACAATAATCAGTTGAAAATCGGTGCAAACATCACCAGAGGCCTCATATCTATCTATTGCATTAAAAACGTCATTAAGTAAATACCGTACTTCCTCCATAGTTCAGCTGTGGAGTAACACAAAATTCACTATTGTATTTTAATTTTGGTTTTTTTATATGACACACCGGCGCACTGAGAACACACCAATGAACTATAAACAAACGACTTTACCTACAGTTCAATGAGAAACACACGCGCACTAACCATTTCGAAATACCACCTCTATCGAAATCATTGAATCGAAATCAGTGATCGAAATAGAGGAAATTGAGTTCACTGGCACGCCCGCCATACTTGCGCCCGCGAAACCGTTTAGCTATTGGATTGCGGTTGGATAAAATACAAACTTGAATGTACAATGCAAACTTGAATGTAAAATGCGAAAACTCGAATGCAAAACACAAACTTGGATGTAAAACCGACACAAACTTGAATTTAAAAAACACAAAGATGAAGGTAATACACAAACTTAAATGCAGAATATAAAAAGTCCAATAAAACAAAGAATGTTCAACATAAAATAACGAAGTTGAATTTTGGCGGATACATGACGCCATGTAGAACGCTATATTGGTATGACATGAAGTTCTCGGCATGTCGGACGTTCCATTTTTCCAGCCCAGGCCACGTTAACGGACTTTATAAATATTATAAGGGCTATTGAAGCATAAATGTTTTGTTCTAACTGCTCTCAAGAAATTATTTCTGGTTCATGTCTTATATATTAATTGATGTTATATTAATTTAATTGATGTTCTTTAAATCTTGAAAAGGAAGGGAAAATGTTCAAATGTACTCACCATGAAACAGCAACACGTGAACAGGATACAAAGTCTTAAGGCTGTTTTCCACTTCAACCGTATCGTAGCGAAACGTAGCGTATCTCATTGTTTTAAACCCCGTTTACACTACAGTTAATTTATCGGCACGGCACGGCTAAAATGGGTACCCGTGCTCAATTTTACTAGTGCTCAGGCTACCAAAACAAAGGCCGGGCACAAATGAATTGGCACGGGTACCCATTTTAGCCGTGCCGTGCCAATAAATCCAGTGTAGTGTAAATGGGGCTTTAAAGTCATTTGTTCTGGTCGAATACTCCGGAAACAAAGAAATACGCTACGATACGGTTGAAGTGAAAAACAGGCCTTATAGTTATATTAATTGATGTTATTTAAAATCTTGAAAAGAAACCGAAAATGTTCAAATGTACTCTCCATGAAACAGTAACACGGTACAAAGTCTTATGGGTATATTAATCGATGCTCTTTAAAATGTTGAAAAGGAAGGTAAAATGTTCACATCACATGTAGCATTAAATTCAAACCGGAAATCTATGTACAGTAATTATTATAATCAATTGGGTACTATTGTCATGCAAATCCGTCTAATAAAAATGCTAGCTATCAACTCTAAAGGCCATAATATTTGCTATGATATCTACGGAATAGAGCTGAACCATATTTCTGCGTGCATCTGTCGAATATAGTTTACTTGATCGTGAACACTCAAATTTCTACCGGACAGTAACTATAACTGTAAGTCTACTTTCTTTTAACCTTTTACCAACCTTGTTGTTGATTATTTAATATAGTTAGCTTATGTAAATATGTAATGTTTTATGAACTTATGTAGTTGAACCGTTTCGAATATATAAAAATTTACGAGTTCAAGTTTGTTGTCTGGATTTTGGATTGAGAGATTTACATGTACTCTCCATGAAACAGCAACACGATACAAAGTTTTATAGTTACATTACTAATATTAATAATATTATAAAAGAATATACTAATCTGGAGCCTGCAGGGAACTAATATGAAATATAGCTTCGTTATTATAACCATACATCTAACCTGAATTTCGATACTCACATACGGCTCCCAAATGCTGATGTATCAGAATTCATAATGACAGAGGACAAGGGTATTGAATCCGTTTGTCAGCTGTTGACATATTAATAATCCATCAGTTTAAATCCCGTATCGCTAACTGCTGAATTTGCATTCGATGTGTTATATAAGTTATATACATAGGTTATAGAAATAACATGACGTTCCCAGGTCTATTGTTTAAATAACCGGAAGTGAACTTATTCGTGGGATTTTGACATGCTTACAAGAACGCTTGTTGTAATTTATCTTTCGTTTTACTATTATTTAAAGTTTATTTGTTTGATTGATCTTAAAATCATAACAAAGTTGGCGACGAGAATGGGATATTTTACTTTTTTCTGAAGATTTCGTGCAATTAATTGCTGTTGAATTGAGAATTGAGTTCAAGACAATTCGACACTTTTCAAAATGGCTGAACTTGCAGATTTGGTTAAAGTACTTCAAGAACAAAATAACGCTCTTCTTGGAACCCTTAAGGCAGGTATAAAGGTACCCGTGGCTAGTTCGACGAGCATTCCTACATTCTCGCCGTTTAACCCGACATAAGAGCTGTGGAAAGACTATCTAGCCCGTTTTCAAACGTTCGTAGCGGCGAATTCTGTAGCAACGGATAAACAGGCGAAAATTTTCCTTACGAATCAAACGTCCGTGACCTACAAACTACTGAGCAATTTGGCGTCGCAACAACAGCCACCAAAAGAAGTTAATGATTTGACTATGGAGGAAATAATTGAATTTATGAGAGCACAGTTCGACCCCACATTATTTGTGGTACGCGAACGTTTTAAGTTTTGGTCCGAGATGAAACGTAAACCGGGAGAAACTATTCAAGAGTTGGCTGCTCGAATTCGGCATGATGCGGCCAGATGCAATTTTGCTGAAATTAGGGATCCCCAAGACGAAGCCCTACGTACAAGATTTATGTGTTCAGTAAGCAACGAAGCAGTACTTAAAGCGTTTTTCAAAATGAAAGACCAGGAGCTCAATTTTGCGAAGGCTGTTTCAGTTGCCACGGAAATTGAAGAGGCGGCGAAAGTTGCTAAAGAAACTACCTTCGGAATCAAGGGTTCGGGTCAAGGGGTGAATCAAGTGCGACAAACGTCGACAAAGTATCACGATGACGCAAGAAACCAAAAGAAAAGTGGTAAGGAGGAAAAGGCAGTATGTTTTCGCTGTGGCAAAAAAGGTCATTTGGCAACGAAATGCAAATTTAAAGAGACGGAGTGCCATTTTTGCCACAAGAAAGGCCACCTCCAAGCTGTGTGCAATTCAAAAAAGAGACTGGAAGCCCGTGAACAACTGAAAGTTATTACCCAGCGACTGAACACAGTCAAGATTCAAAAGCAAGTGCGCCAGCTAATTCAGCCCATAGATTTAAAGGGGCAAAAGTTCAATTTTGAAGTCGACACTGGTGCTGGCGATAATTTTTGTTCAGTAGAGGTATGGAAGAAGCTCGGCAAACCAGACCTTACAGCAGTGGATGTCGTATACGAAGTTGCTAATAAACAACCATTACCAGTCCTTGGCTCTTTTGAAGTTGATGTTAAAATTCATAATAAACACGGAGTGATACGTCAACCTCTTAATTTCAATGTCACAGAAGTGCAAGGACTTAACCTGCTAGGACGACATGGCATCCAAAAGATGGTTGTCGATCTAAATTCGTTGATATCCGGAGAGTCTTCACTAGCGAGAGAAGTGCACGCTGTGTTTGACCATTTACATACTGATAATACCTTTCAAAAGGCATGCCGTCAGCTCTGTGATGAATTTTCTGATATTTTCAAACCAGAACTCGGATGCCTAAACGATTTTGAACTAGATATCACGTTCAAGTCAGATGCTAAACCAGTTTTCTGTAAACCACGTTCAGTTCCTTTAGCAATGCAAGAAGATCTTAATCGGGCATTAGAGATAGGAATTCGTAAAGGCGTGTGGGAACCAACCCCTTTCTGCGAATATGGTACTCCAGTGGTACCCATTCGAAAAGCAGTGTTACCTGGCCAAACCAGAGCCAATATTCGTGTTTGTGGCGACTACACTCGGTTACTGTCAACCCTCAATTGGAGGACCATCGCCAAGTACTCCCTCTACCTGAGGATTTGATGCGAAAACTTGGGGGTGGATATGGTTTCACAAAATTGATCTAGCGGATGCATACAACCAAGTGAAGCTGACTCCCGAAAGTCAGAAGAAACTTGCTCTCAGCACCCACCGTGGAGTCCTTCTGCAGAAGAGATTACCATTTGGTATTAAATCGGCCCCTGGTTACTTTCAAGAGATAATGGAACAGTTGACGGCTGACCTCAAAGGGGTAGCAGTGTATTTAGATGATATTTTGGTTAGCGGTGCTACAGCACAGGAACATTTGGGAAATCTTCGAGCGTTACTTAAGCGACTAAGCGACAAAGGTCTACGGTGTCGGTTAGAAAAATGTTCTTTTGCTCAACCAGTGGTGGAATATTTGGGTCATACCCTCTCCAACGAAGGTATTGCTAAGGGCCCGAAAGTCGACGCAATCAAGAAGATGCCTCCTATCGATGTTTCAAGTTTGTCTTCATTCCTTGGTTCCGTACAGTTCTACTCAAAGTTTCTTCCAAACCTGTCCACGGTCTTGAAACCACTGAAAAAATTACGACGTAAAGGGGAACCATGGTGTTGGGGAGAGCAGCAGCAAAATGCGTTCGACACACTCAAGAGTATGCTTTGTGAAGACACTGTACTAGTGCACTATGATCCCTCCCTTGAGATTGGTCTATCTTGCGATGCATCAAATGTCGGAGTGGGTGCAGTTCTTTTTCACCGTTATCCGGATGGAGACGAGAGACCAATCGCGAACGTTTCAAAAACGCATACAGATGCTCAGCGACGTTATAGTCAAATTCAGAAAGAGGCCCTAGCTATTGTCTATGGACTTAAAAAGTTTCACCAGTTTCTCTACGGCAGAAAATTTATTCTTGTCACGGATCATAAGCCACTTGAAGCATTGTTTGGTCCGAACAAACCTATTCCTGTTATGGCGGCTAACCGATTGGCGCGATGGGCGTTGATGTTGTCCCAGTACAGTGGGTACACTATTGAATATCGCAAGACAACAGAACATGGGAACGCCGATGCCTTGAGCAGACTCCCAGTAGGTCCTGATGATGAGTTCGACAGGGAAGAAGGATCAGATGATACAGACGTGGTGTGCACGATTAAGATGATTAGTCAAAAAATGAAACCACTTGACGCCGATTTGGTGAAGAAAGAATCAGCAAAAGATCCCGTCCTAGCAAATGTTATGCGATACGTTCGAGAAGGTTGGCCAACTAACAATAAGCTGTTAGAAGTACAAGTCATGGCTATTCAGTAAAAGATTTCCAAAAGCCGCTGATTCTCTATCCGTGGTGAATGGTTGCCTCATATATGGTTCAAGAGTGGTGATACCACGGAGTCTGCAGCGACAAGTGCTAAAGCTACTACACATTGGCTATTGTGGTATACAACAAATGAAGCAACTAGCTCGTACAGCCGTCTACTTGCCACGCATTGATGAGGACATACGAGAACAAGGCAGACAGTGCCAACCATGCGTGGAACATCAAAACAAGCCCGAGAAATCAGCCAACCATCCATGGATGCTTCCCGAGCGACCTTGGAGCAGAGTACACATTGATCATGCCATCAATTTTCTTGGGTCAAACTGGTTGGTGATGGTAGATGCATACTCTAAATACCCGTGTATTCATCCAACAACGTCCGTGTCGACAAAGGCAACGACAGAGCTGCTAGAGGAGGATTTCGCCCATTTCGGTTATCCTCACACAATTGTATCAGATAACGCAACAGCTTTCAAGTCAGCAGAATTTCGGGAGTGGTGCCAAGAGCGAGGTATTGTGCATCTCACAGGAGCACCCTACCACCCAGCAACCAATGGGGCTGCAGAACGTCTGATCCAGACAGCTAAACAATCCATGAGGAAGTCTTCGAAACCACCTAAAGCTGCCTTGCAAGAATTTCTGATGCAGTACAGACGTACGCCGTTGGAGTTGGGATATTCACCAAGCGAACTGCTAAATGGTCGGCAGATTCGTTGCAAGATTGATACTCTTCTTCCGTCACACGCACATGCAGCTCAGGGTAAACAAGCAAAGCAGGCAACGAAGTCTCAAGAAGCCGAGAAACCAGCCGAAGTTACCCAAATCCGAGCAACACCAAAGTATGAAGTGGGTACGAGATGTTATGCTTTATATTATGGCCCAAGGCGAGAGAAAGAAGCGCGTTGGGTTCCCGCAATTGTGGTTAAAGTATTTGGAACACGCAGCGTTAATGTTCGAGTGCAGCCTAAAGGTCTCGTATGGCGCAGACATGTAGAGCAGCTTCGACCGTGGTACGTAAACCCGGACGAAGATGCTGAGCCTGCAGAACAGCCCAGAGAAGCAATTGCCGAGAAAATAGTGAATCAGAATCCAGTGATGTCCCGTGAGAGAAAGTCCTCTACGGCCGGAAAGAAGGACAATCCTGTACATCTATCTACTACGAACAATGGTAGAGATCTGCCCAGACGTTCAGAACGACTGAAGGCTAAGAAACAATCCGCTCCTTCATAGCTTCGAAGCTGTGAGGGAGGTGTTATATAGGTTATATAGATAGGTTATAGAGATAATATGACGTTCCTAGGTCTATTGTTTAAATAACCGGAAGTGAACGGTTTGATTATTCGTGGGATTTTGCCATGCTTACAAGAACGTTTGTTGTAATTTATCTCTCGTTTTACTATTATTTAAAGTTTATTTGTTGGATTGATATTAAAATCATAACAGTGTCTTTCTCTCACTTTGCTAGTTTTATTAATTAACGCAGATGATTGACACATTTAGTAAAATTCAGCTTGTTTATTTCGGTTTAGTAGAATATGCGGGGCGCGTGATGCGGAATGCGGGGCCAGTAGAAAATGCGTGGTCGGTAGAAAATGCGGGGTCAGTAGAAAATGTTGTAAATAGCACTCAATAGTGACGTTAACATTTATTGATATTAACATAAAGTACTTTGGTACATTAATCGCGGGCTCCTTTTGTGCGTTCGCAAAACAGTTTTGTTTTCTGTTAAAATACATAAATTTTACTCAAAGTGTTTTTCCTTTTTTTGGTCTATAAATTTATCACAAATTCAACAGAAAATGCGGGGTCGGAGGAAATACGGGGTCGATAGAAAATGCATACCCTTTTCTAGTCTGGTTAACCCCTCGTTAAAAATATTTATTTGATGTGGAAGACGTGGCCTCTGCGGTTCCTAAATACGGAATTTAAAAATTACACACACTGATAGTGATAGTTAGTTAATTGGGAGATTTAACACAAGCAGGTGAACGTCAAAGACGATGAGAAAATAGCGAATCCATCGTGAACTCCAGTTATTCATGATCACCATTTACACGTCCTCTTTGACGTTCATGTCCTCGTGCTAAATCTCCCTATTGTTCGGACAAGGAAGCCCAACGTGACAATTAATTTATATTTGAAAGAGGTTGATTGTCTAAGCCAGTGAAAAGAAATTATTTAATTGCCTTTAAAATTCGTTCTTTCTTTCAGTGAAGCGAAATCGATAATTTATAGAGTCTCTCCACCAAATAATAGCTGGAAACATGACCAGTTATGCACAACGTGGTTATCATTTAACAGTTATTCTGCGAACTCGAGTCGTATATGAGCTGATAGCCGACGAGGCGCGTAGCGCCGAATTGGCTATCGACCATATACGACGAGAGTGAGCTGCGCCTCGTGTTTTACAAGCTTCTCTCGTATTCTCCCAACATTCCCCTATCGTGCATTATTACACCATAAAGGCACGCGACTCGTTTTTTAATTCTTAAATAAAACCAATTCCCGCACATTTAAAGCCATTTCCTCAACGTTTAACCTGCTTGTATTCTTCAGTTATATTAAAATGTTGAAGATATTTTAGCGTTTTTAAAGACAAACGCAGTGTGTATTGATAAACGCACGACGAAATTGCTTCAATGCTTCCGCTACCAGCAATTACATTTTCTAAAGTTCCATGAGTGAAAAATGGAATTATTAAGTGGAGACACCACCTTCAATTTTGTATAAAATCCCGCTCCTTTGGTTTAGCGAATTTGGCTTTTAGGACCTTTCGCACATGTATTCCCAGCACAAAATAGCCATTTATCCGCTCGCTTAGCTCTAAAAAATTTGGCTAAATCTTTAGTTGTTCGTGCATTTACGAAAATAAGCGGTATTTTTTGCCCAAAAGATCGCAAATATTCACAAACTTATTCAACGGTAATGGCGGATAATAGTTTCCGACGGTTCGCGATTTTTTGAGTCCTCGGAAGATATCGTAGTTACGTCACATTCTTACTATCTATCTATCTATCTATCTTACACAGGCGATGACATAAAGGCAGGGTTTCCATTTCTAAGGAAATTTCCTTAGAAAAGTGCTCCACTATGGGGGAGAGGGTCATAATTAATTGCATAAATTATACATTCTTTTCAAAAGTTCTTTGTTTCTCTCTGCTCACCAATCCCATCCCTGTGTGAGGAGAGCAATATGCAAATAAATTATGGAAGCCCTGCATAAAGGATTTTGCTTAATAAGCAAATCCTTAAAAATTGTTTTGACACGCGGATGTTCAAATTACGTACGTTTTTGTAAGAAGACCAACCTCACTGTCACCCCACCCCTGATGAGGACACTAGACCACAGTGTCGTGAATTTAATTTTTGTGTGGTGATTATACTTTCATTATTCAAATTTATTTTCGACAATTAACCTTTCCACTAATATCATCATTTAGTGGGAAAAATAGTCATCAGCTAGAAAGATCTTACTTAAATTAGTGCAATGTGCGAATGAAAAGTTTGGCTTCGAAATTTTGTACGAAAAATATAGCCATGCGAAGTTGGCAAATTTTGTATTCTTTTGTATTACGCGCGGAAATGTGTAGCTAAATTAGTTACACACTTAGGGTCGTAATACAGAAGTAAACAAGATATGTGAACTTTGCATGGCTATATTTTTCGTAACTTACAACAATTCGCAGCCAAACTCAGCAGTTTTACTTATTTTAGTAAGCTTTTTCAGAAAATATCCCTTTTATTGCCGAGGCAAGAAATTACCATGTGCCTGTCGTCCCTTGGGTCCAACGAAATTAGATCGTGTGAAAAGTCTTTAATAATGTAATCACTAACATTTCCATACTGACGATAAGTTGAATTTCTATTTTACTGTACCAATATATAGATGTAACCGCTCAACTTATGGTGTTCTGCGATATTCTTCACGAAGACTTCAGCTATGCACGACTGAAGGATGGCAATCTTTTTCTTACGAGCCTCCTTTAGGTTGCGGCAACCAAGGCGTGAAAAACGTGCCAGAAACAAACTACAAAGCTTTTCTTAATGCAGACCGTGGTATATTGCTTCAATTCAACGGAAATAGTGTTCCAAATGTCCGAGGCAATTTCAATATTACAGCAGGTAAAAAGTAATGAATCTATAGTGCAGACTCGTACCCACGTTTTTTCTCAGAGAAAAAGACCGTGGTGTCAACGGGTCATTTGAACTTGAGAAAATTTTCTTCAAAAAGCCCCATCACAGGCTTTTTGGCATTTCGTCATTTTGAAAAACTTGGAAATGTGGGTATGTAGCTTCGCCTCTCTATGTTGTATCTCTTAATTGTTTTAAAATCGTTTAAATATTTTGTGTTTTGCTTTGTGGAGACCTCCCATTGAGCAAAAACGGATTCCTAGGAAGTACTTGACTTCCACTTTAAATATTTTTGGAGCCATTTGATTAAACCCCTAACAATAAAATACATATATTAGTACTGCAACTCTTCGGCTACTTGGTGTGTATCTTTTAACAGTCATTTTTTGGCGCGACATATATTTTAAACAATCAGCGAAATTCGTACCCAGGCGTTATCCGATAATGTGACCACGACGATAGCTGAAGAATATGTGAACCTAAATTATATCCACGTTAAATCCCGTCTCGCAATGTTTGTTTTGTACTATACAATAACAGTTTGTATTTTGAGTTCTATTGAATATCTAACAACATTCAAGTTTGCTACGCGCTTCTAAATGATTATGAACTTGTGCGTATGTTAAGAAACGTTTTTAATTATTTTACGAGAGCGCGTGCATGGCAAGCTCTCCGGAGTTAAAGGCGATTCTCCATTACCGTCTGCTTCACCACGTCATACCACGGAAGACGAGTGGATGAATGCATAAACGTTTTTTGCTTTGTAGCATAAGTTAAAAAAATTACCCAACACTTTTGTTTGAATACCTGAGCATTAACAATCAAGTGCGGAGAGGAGAACTGCTACACTCCCACACCATTCCACCTCGTACACCCCTGGGAACACCAGGTGCCACGCCTTTGGGACATGACCGGTTCTCGTGTGGGGAGACACAGTTACAAGTTACAATTTGTGTAGTGTTGGTTTCGAATTGGGTCTTTTAAAGCGAGGTTTTGTCTGAATAACCGGATACTTCTGCCTTAATTAATGTCATGCATCTACTGTTTCTTCAGATATTTCACCGGATAATTTCAACCTAACTTACAAAGAGGCTGTAATGAGACAAGCCGCGCTGTTTCCCGGGAACGGAAACCGTTTGAATGTTTCTGGTATCTCTGATGATTTCTGGAGGAATAGCAACTGGTCAGTCATGGCTTTACTAAGGTACAAAAATACTAATGAGAAGTTTGTCAGGGTGCTGGGTCATGGTTCAACATCTGCCAACAAAGGGTTGCACTTAGGCATCGCAGTCAGCGACGATGCCAGAAATAAAAAGGTGAATGGAAGTAGCGGGTTTGAATATAAGAAAAAAATATCTATATAGGGTGTGTGTGACTTATGCAATATGGCTTAATTCTTTCAAACTAAGTGTTTTCTCACAGTAAAGATCTTAAAGATCTTTTAAAAAGTATTTCGGAGGCGCAGTACATTGTTATCCAGTAAACGTGAAAACTGAGCTTAACGTCAAGATTAGGAAGAAATTATACTTAGCTGTAGAGATGTAAAGTGGGTTTAAGATTTGTGGCGTGCCTTTTTCACTAAAGAATTAATTTTTCAGAACCCATATTACGGAAATAGTGTGGATGCCAGTTGAAAAGTATGAGAGCTTATATTCTACCCATACTAAATGCTATTTCCATACTATATATGGATATATGAACAGAAAAAGTATTTCACAGATTAAAATCCATGCAAATGTCTCACTTCTCACAAAAAAGCGTAAATTAATATTTCAAAATGGAGTCAAACTGTTTAAAGTGAAAAACTGTACGGTGTATTTTGTTTGGAGTCGAACTGTTTAAAGCGGAATATATGTAAATTTATTAATTTGTACAGGAAATGTCATTCAATGTAAATATATTCACATACTTTTTCATGCATTTAAATGAGATATGTTGAAAATATACCATCGAATGGGGGGTTCATACTGATTATAATCTTCCGCTCCTACGACATTCGAAAAAGGTAACACTCGTACAATATTGAAAATGTGGTGCTTTTAACTCACTTTCCAATACGCGTATAGATGATGAGAGATTCAGTCACAAACTTAACCACA